AGCTCTCCTCATCGGCCCATGATCTTTTGTATATTAAAGTCTAGATTTCACAAAGAGGTTCATACTAGCTGCTTAATTAATATTTATCCTAGTAGTATGCATCTCAAGATCTTTATTTCAAAATAGCATAACATTACTATTTTAGAAGAAATCTGTTTTCAAAAATCATGTAATCCATAAAAAGACAGTTTGATAGTACACAGTCCAGTTGAAACTAGTTTTATTAAGTGGAGTAGAATGCATTAAATATCTTTATGTTAAATACTCTAACTTTATAGCTTAGATAGCTTCTTGGTGGAACTCTGTCACAATGTGATTCTGGGTTGTATTCTTTGTTTCTTCATCGCTTACTAATGAACCTTGGGAGTATCATGTGACTTTGATGCTTCAATTTTCTCAGTCTGTTCATTGTCCATTCCAGGGAGAAAAGTGAGAATTAATAAGTCTCTAAAGTACTTTCAAAACTTTTCAACAGTACTATATAACTCTAAGCAGTCATTACTATAGACATTTTCTATTTCTAAAATTATTTTTATAATAAAAAAATTCATAATAGTCTTTTCAGTTGAATAGTATTCATGACCATACCAATGAGGGCTAACTAATGATTCATGGATCTATCTTAATTTCTAAATAAAACAGTAATAAAATGCAAAGGCTCATTTCGATTTTGAAATGTAAGGATACCTACACCCGGGGGCCTGCATACAGCTTTTAAAATCTTGGAAAGAAAATGCAGTTTACAGAATTCTTGCTGGATGTAATAGTCCACTTGAATTAATAGCAGTCCATGGAATTGAACTTGCAATTGTGCCCCATTCTGACTGAAGGGAAAGAAGAAATATCTCTGTCATCATGGAAAATATAGTGTGGCAGGTGGTCATAATACATGATAAGGGCTCTGTTCCCTTTGATGACACAATTATTAGAGTGCTTGTATCCCAACACAATAGGACCACAAAGGCTCCTTTCCATAAGCCTTTGTAAGTATTCCAAGGAGAAAAATTAAGCTCCAAATGGACATATCCATTAATGAATCACCTTAAAAAAAAAAAAGCTACTTTAGAAGTAGGACATTTAAAACGATGGTAGCAGTGAAATTAAACTTGCAAAGAGTATTTATGGACCCTTCCACCAAGGCCAAGATTCTACAGTGGCTACTTGAACACACTAAGCTATATATAGAGAATAGTAACTTTACCTAAAAATCAGGGCCGGTGCTGTGTGGTCATTCACCACATTGTTTATCTTCACCCCAGGGGCATTTTACTAATCTTTGTCAGCAGTGAGGCTTCTTTTGAATTCTGCTGTGCAGTGGCTTAATGATAAATAAGCATATTTTTAAAAGTCACGTGAATCTTCTATTTTCAAAGCGGCATTTTATAGTTGCAGGAACCTTAACATTTTGTTAAATCATTAAAAACTATTCATATTCTCCAATAAAAAATGCACTAGATCAGAGGTCTCCAAACTGTTAGGATACACTTCCATTAGTAAAAGGATGTTGAGCAAAATTCCCCAATACCTACATATTTAGAAATTATATGCATGTACTATCATTAACTAGTAACTAGCCAAATATACATTTAGGGTTATAGCCATCCTTAATGATGATATGCCTTCACCTGTATTTGATAAAATCCTCGAAATAACTTCAATTTTGTTGTCTAACTACTTGTCAGATATTTTTACACTTGGCTTACTTGTTTTTTCATGAACACTGGCTTCTGTTGAGCTTATGCGAAAAATAATGATGACAGCTCTGCCGATGTCTAGTTGTTTGCTTGTGCTTGCATTATGAACTAGACCTTGACTCTGTGGGTTTTCTGCCAGGATCTTGTGAAGTCACTTGTACTTTTCAATGAAGAATAGTCTGGTATTGAAGTGGATAGCATCATGCACAGACTTCCTAACCCAGGCACACATGCACTACGATATGCTGAATATTTGCATAACATATGTGATATAGGACACTGTGAATACAAACTGAATAAGAAGTCCTAGTTCATTTTACATGCTATATATTAGGAAAAAAATGTCTTGTTTTTAGATAAAAAGAAGGAAATCCTAATACTTTCTGTATTTCTTCTTCCTTACCCAGTGGGTTGTGTACCTCCCCACCACCACCTTTGGAGTCCACTAGCTTAAGTGACTCATATTTGGAAATAGAAAAATAGAACATGATTAATGGAAAAGGGAAGTACTATTATTAATCTGCAAATACATCATGCTCTGAGTAAAAATCAAATTGAAAATCAAGAAAGGATGATAGCACAGTCAAGAATCAAATGATATTAATTTGTGGTGATCTTTAAAGAGATAATTTTTTTCCACAAAAGAAGGAACCAGAGTAACAGGATAGGGAGCGGTGACCCCAGGAGTACCTAAGCAGCATGCAGGATAGTGACGTGGGCTGGCAGGGCGAGTACATAAAGATGAAGAGGGAAAAACAAGTCTGCTGAAGAGAAGACATTTTGGTAAAAATCAGAGTTCGAAACTCAGTGGAAATTAAACTGGGGAAGGAGAGATATATTCTAATTATAGGGGGGCCTAAGAATATGCTTTCGTTGTCATGATAGAGTTATAATAAGAGAGAAGTGATTACGCTCCTCAAATACTGCCTTTAGCATTTATATCACAGGTAAGATCAAGTCATCATCTGTTGGCGCATTTAGTTATAGTGACTCAGTGACACCACTTTCTCACTTCTTATCCTTGTCTCTGTCTCAAGAAACAGGTCCCTCTCCCCCTCTAAAGCTCAGAGCTCCTTTTGTATCACCCTGTTCCTCTCCTCCCAGTACCATCAAGACCTTAATTCTCAATTAAGCCTCTAGGCATCTTCAGTGCCTCCTCACAGCTTTCACCCCATGCCTTCAAACAAGAATGCTCTCTGCTCTCATAGAAAATGACCCAGCTGACCTCTCTAGCTACTGCTATATTTTTTCCCCTTTTACTGTCAAACTTTTCAAATAAGGAGCCTATATCTGCTGCCTCCATTTTCTCTGCCATACCCTCAAATCAGGCTTCTGTTCTTATTACTTTGCAAAAAAAGAATTTCCCATGGTTCTTATCCAGTCATTACTGTGCCCTATTTATGTTTCATAGCTGTCTCCTATCACTTCTCTCCCTCCTTTTTTTTTTTTCCTGCTATACCTCTAGTCTGGCCTTTTCTGTTTCCTACTTCTAATCCTGATTCCCTCCCTCCTGTCCAGGATCTTCACTAACCCATTATGACACTTCTCTGTTTGTAGTAGCAATGTTCTCTATTTTAAGACACCGAACATTTAATTCCTCATCCTGACTTTTAAGTTTCTCCTATTTTCCCATCCCCACTTATCAAATCATTATTTATTACAACAGAAAGGGATAAATAAATATTTGTTGAGTGACTGAATAAATGAATGAACATGGATTCTATGCTGTTCTGGGCAAGAGGTATCTTCGTTGTTCTATCAAGACCACAGTTCCCTTCTATCTTTATTATGTTGATAAACTATAGACAACTGGGTTTGGGGTATCTGCAAACAAGAACAATGCTCATGAACATACACACTAGAGGAGAGTTTCAAGAAATAGGTTGTAATACTTAAAGTTAAAAGTTATAAAACCTAGGCGTTTGGGGATGATCTTAACTTTCTTCTGTTTCCACCTATGATAAATTTCAGCCTTTGTTCTTGGGTTGCCTGAAGCCTGGTATGTGTTGAAGCCTTTCAATTAACTAGGGAATATATTTAAGCTTTTCTCTAAGAGTGTCATTCACTACCTTCTCTTTCCAAGTGCTTGCCAATCGATAGCAGCAGAGATGAACTCAAAGTCATGAATAAGGTGATTATGTGGCTTTTGTGCTTGCCTGCCTATGCGGCTTCCCTCCAGGGAAAACTTGACATGCCTGAGGTTCCTGCTTTCTTTGCCACATCATATCCCTGAGTTTTGATTTGACTGATTTACTAGAGAATAAAAATCATATAGACCTCCCTACTTTCTCCTAACAGCTTATTCTTGATGTAAGTCTAGCAGAAAGTGAAATCTGTTGACAAGCCTTCCTTTCTGGTTAGAAGCTGTAGTCAGCCAGTTTGAGAGCTACTAGTAGTGATTCTTTTTATGAAAAACCAAACACTCTTTAACAACAAAGGATAAAATACACGATATATCCTAGTAAAAATAATTATATAATATAATTATATGATTCTCCAATGTTATAATCCTTTTCTGTTCCAGGAAGCCTTCTATAATTATTATAACTTTGCTGATGTCCTTTCTCTCTGGACTTTTATGGAAATTAAAATTTTGCACTGAATTATATGTGTATCATTTTTTTGTTTGTTGTTTTCAACCACCTGTGCCTCTTTGAGGGTGAGGACCAAATATTTTAGTTTAGGTCAACACCATATTGCACATTGTAAAATATTTAGTAGTTAATTAGCACTCATGTGTCTACTGAGCAATTAAAGATGGCCAGGGGGTGGGAAGGAGTGTGGAAGGTAATTACCAAAGTACTGACTGAATGTATTAGTCAGGGATTTAAAAAATGCAAGTAACACAGATCTAAACCAAACTTTTTTTATTCCTTCTGTCCTTCCACAAATACTTATAGAACACCTACTATGCGGAGTACATCAGTGCACTAAATAGAGTAAGATTCCTTTGAGGAGTTTGCACTGAAGTACAGTGAAATAAGTATCACACAATAGCCCTGGCCAGTTTGACTAGTTGAAGTATCGCCCATGAACTGAAGGGTCTGGAGTTTGATTCTGGTTAAGGGCAGCAGTCTAGATCCCTAGTCCTGGTTGGGGCTTTTGAGGGAGGTAACCAGTCCATGTGTCCCTCTCACATTGATGTTTCTCTCTCTGTCTCTCCCCCTCCCTTCCACTCTCACTGGAGATCAGTGGAAAGGTATCCTCAGGTGACAATTTAAAAAATTACACAGCAGACTCGGTGGCGGTCACTGAGCAGATCGGACTTCCCTCGTTCGCGCACCTCGCTCAGCTTCCTCTGCACCCATGTCTGACAAACCCCGTATGGCTGAGACTGAGAAATCCGATAAGTCGAAATTGAAGAAGACAGAAACGCAAGAGAAAAATCCACTGCCTTCAAAAGAAACGATTGAACAGGAGCAGCAAGCAGGCGAATCGTAATGAGGCACGCGCCGCCAATATGCACCGTACATTCCACAGCATTGCCTTATTTTACTTTTAGCTGTTTAACTTTGTAAGATGCAAAGAGGTTGGATCAGTTTAAGTGACTGTGCTGCCCCTTTGCACATCAGAACTACTGACGACGAAGGCCGCACCTGCCGCTCCCATCTGCCTGGCTGGCTGGCGGGGAGCGGGGAGAACCTGCATGTTGGTGAAGGAACGAGCTGGGTGGGACGAGGGTGAAATCTAGAGTAAAAACCAAGCTGGTCCAAGGTGTCCTGCGGGCTGTAAAATGCAGTTTAATCAGCGTGTCACTTGTTTTTGTTCAAATGATTTTAATTATTGGAATGCACATTTTTTTTAAATATGCAAATAAAACGTTTTAAGACCTGAAAAAAATTACACAATAAACAAAATAATTAGAAAATACAATGAAAGGTTGGGGGGGGGGATAAAAAAGAACAGGGTAAGTGGTTTAGAGAGCTAGTGGGAGAAGCTTATATGCCCATATATGTATAGCACAAACATATTCTGGGAAACAATGCCTTAAATGCTTGTTTATTATGATTGGATCAGTTTGCCAAAAGTAAAGCATCATTGTCATTCACAATTATGGGAATAAAAGTTAGGGATGCATTTTTCCAACAGTGATTTTCTAAGAAGCACAAGTTCACTTTATGAGTTCAAAGATGGTGCTGTTATTAAATTTAAGCCAATGTACAGTTGTGACCATTTTTAAATACTTTTAGTCCCACAGAACTGCACCAACGCACAGACACCTGTATACAAGTCTCATTGCCAAAAATTCCAGTTATATCTCTACAGCACAGGAGTTTGGGAATCAAATACGTTTTTAAATAATTAAAAGTTATAGAAAATGTTCCTAAATAGCATACAACAGAACAACAACCTGTACAGTCCCGGATGACAAAATAAAAAGCAGGAAACTACTGTTGCTCATTCATAAAACTCACACAAGGGATCACAGGCTGGATGTGGGGATTTGCAAAGGCCGTAAGCCCTGAACCAATCTAACGTTTAAGAGGAGCGCCCTGAAAAAGCTTCTCATACACATGCTCAATCTAAGAGCCATGAAATTCCTCTACATTTTAGTTCCCCCTCTGGAAATAAGAATAAAAATTTCCCTGAAAGATAGTAAAAACCAAAATTACATTAAAGTACTAGGTAGAAGGTATTTATCTAAAATGCGGTGCAACTCTAATGTCAGACTTATTTTATTAATTGTAATAAAAATCCGAATTCCAAATATGAATTCCAACATTCAGAAGAAATACTATTCAACTGAACTCCTCTACCAAGAAATCCTTATAAATGGGCCATCAATAATTCTATTAAGTGTACATGACACTGCGGAACTTGATACACATATGTACATCTCAGTCATTCCTTTCAGCGATGTGAGAGCTGTTTTATGACCAACTTTTTGGCCCTCAACCACCTGATTTTGCAGAGCATACATTTTTTAGAGGACGAGGTACAAGAATTTCAAAATATATAACTTTCCTGAGCTAACTTGGGTGCTGACAGGAAAACCTTAGACTATAATTATTCCAACAATAGCATCGGGTTACAAACTCCCTCACCACGTGGGGTCAAAAGCTTCCCCTAGAAAGGCAAAGACTTGTCAGTGAACACTAGGCAGCACAGCTCATAAAAATTTCATTAGCTTGCCCTTCTCTTCCTGCGGTAAGACAGATGTAAAATCAGGAATTTTCCCGGTAGATCCTACTCATAGCATTTAGAAAATGAACTTGGAAACACACACACACACACACACACACACACACACACACACACACACATGCGACATTGAGTTTGCTGAGTTGTAGGTAGAGCATGTCACACGCCTCCGATCAAAGGTGTCACGCATTCAACAGCAGCCCCTTTTCATGCAAAGCACCAACATACACATGTGCTAGGAACTGCCAGAGCTGACAGAGTTATGGGAAATGCCAGTGGAATGTCGAGTATGTAGAGAACAGGCCTATAATTACTCACAAGCCTTCAGGAAATAAACATTCACTTTCAAAAAATTGTTTTCAGCTGCTTTAAAGCCAAGTGACAGGCAAATTACAGTGCAGGGAGGGAAAAGTTTCCATTTTCTAATTTGATGCCTTTTGTTGCACCTACTACATTACCCCGCGTCCGGGCTGCCACATCCCGTCGTGCTTCCAGCCTCAGGCTGAGAGCTGCGCCCAGCGGGAAGGGCTGTTTGTCCAGCCCCACAGCGTGCTAAGTGTGCTGTGAGAACAGCGCCCGGGGACCTGGGGCGATGCTTCTGCTTCACATTCCTAGAATTTCCACAAGTGCTTTTGGCTGCACAAGCTGCGGCTGCTCCTTCCACATCTTCTTTGTGCCAAGCTGGGCTAGGTTTATGGAAACTCTGCTGGCCTTGCCTAGAAGCAGCCCCAAACTCACATTTTCCCATGGCTTGGCGCGGGGTGGGGGTGGGGGTGGGGGGAGGAGGAGGATGGGAAGATAGAAGAAACGGTGGGAATAAGAACAGCAAGTCTTGGGTGCTCACACGATGACAGGTAGCTGTCAGGAAAATAAATAAGGGGCTGGTATCTGCCGGTATAAGAGGGAAGAAAGGAAATTAAGTTTTTATTAAAAGAGATAACAGCAATGCTATCAGCCAGGCAGTTTCCTACTGCCTGCTGAGTCCTGTGAGGAGGATTCCCAGTTCTGTACATGACAGACTGTCAGAGTGGCCCATAGATGCACAGTAAGGTGCCCACAGAAGCTTCGTTCTACTGGAGCTCGTACCTTCATAAAACATTGAAGATGCCCTAACCAATTAGATATGAAAATATTAAAAATCCTACATACGTGGCTTAATTTGGGGCCTTGAGCTAGATTTTTGTGCATTAAAATGTAGACTGAGATCAAGTAGAAATGTGTATTCAAAGAGAAACATATTTAGTAACAACTATTTTACACACAAAAGAACGAAGCCAAAAGTTCTGGCTGAGATTAATGTTTCTTATAAGAAATTCAAAGCAAGAGTCCCTGACTCCTTCTCATTAAAATCTTATGTTACCATTTACTATGACTTTGAGCAACTTAAAAAAAAACAACAAATAAAAAAATTAAATGCAAACTTCAAGTGTTAAAAGAAAAAAAGAATTGATCCCCTCAGATTAATCCACTTGCCTGTATATGCTATGGCTGCTCCTTCAGCTACACAATAAACAGCTCAATTTTTCTCCGCAAATGATACCTATGCCTTGAAAACCTTTTAACTTTTTTAAAATTGTGTTTGGCTCAAATAATTTAGGATAGAACAAAACAGGAGGTGGAGAGGACTTGATCCAAATGAGTCAGACATCTGTATTAGTGTAAATTAAAGTTGTTCATAGGTACCTGTTACCTTCAAGACACTGAATTTGGGAACAGCCAAGAGCTCTCAAATGATGTCTCTTCACACCTCCCGGTTTTAGTATGAAGACTTCTGGGTTGCATTGAAAATGGATTTTTTTCCCCCAAATAGGTTCTCAAATTCAGATATTATGAGCAGTGTTTGGCTGATTACATGATTTGCAGTGGTGAATCCTTCGGTACTGGTGAAGTGCGAAGATTGACAGACTTCAGTGCAGTCAGGTTACAAGCACAGACACTCCAATTTTCAATTTAATGGGTTATTTGGGTGTGCAAAGGGCTGAAGCTTGAGTGAGGAACAAGAAAATAATTGCCTGAGGCATGAAAGCTGTGTAGAATTTCTTTGGATTTTAAATAAAGTTGTTTTTGCAGGACCATAAAACTATGCTACATAAATCTGTCAAAAATAATTTCTGATTTCTGTATTTTAAAAATTCTAAGAAAGAAATACAACTCAAATCACATTTACATTGCATTAAAAATCTTTGTGGGAACAAAGCATGATAAAAACAAACTAAATAAATTAAGACAGGTATATTCTTTATTGAAATAAAGTACTTAAATATATATATATATTTGGGATATATATATGTACATATATATATATATCCAAAATACATATAGTTCATTTAATATATTCAACAAGAAACCTATGGCCATAAATTATTAAAATCTCTAAATAAAGAAATGAATTAAGGAAATATAAAACATTTAAATAAGTCTCTGGTTAAGAAGGCTCTGTAAGTTCACACTTAAATACATTGGCCTCTTTTCCAGAAACAGAGCAAGGGCAGGCAAAAATCAGTTAGAAATAACTTAGCTCGAAAAACAATATAAACATCTCCCATACTAGACGTGGAACAGAAATGCATTGAGGTGTAGAGCTAAAACTCAGTGCTTTCTGGGTTCTGCAATAGGTTGCCATTAAAATGCTTCTTTAAAGGTTAACAGGGTCTGAAAACCAGGACTTGAACCTAGAAATTTCTTCAATACCATCATGAAAAGAGGCCAAAGTAAACTATTGACAACCACAAAAATCAACAATAAAAACACTGATGTATTCTAAATAAAATTAATTTTAGGAAACATTTTGACAGTCTTTAAATGAGGATACTTACAATGCTCAGTTTATCTTTTTAACATAGTGGACTAATGAAAAACTGTGGCTATGCGAAAAGCTTAATAGAAATCTTGGGAATACAAAAAATGAACTTAAAACCTTCGATAACTGTATAAATGCTGAAATAGTCACAAGGATAGAACTAGTGAATTTTAAGAATTGATTCATGTACTCAGAGTGCATCACGGAGAGATAAATAAGATGAAAAGCAGATAAGAGGCTCTAACGTAAGTCCAAATTGATTTCTAAATTAAAGGAAGAGAGGAAATTACACATGGACAATATTTGAAGATAAGTAGCTGACACATTCCAATAATGAAGAAATTAATGAATCTTCATACCACCTATGCATTCTGAATGCCAAAAAAAGATATAAAAAGGAATTCCACATCTAGATGGGTACTGCAAAATTCAGAATAGTAAAGAAAAAGAGAAAATTTTTAAACTGCCAAAGAGAAAAGTCTGTTAATCTATTAAGAATAATTCTTAAACTGGGAAAATTTTCATGTAGCAATAACC